GGCAGAGCTCCGAGCCAAGAGGCCGGCTCGACTCGACGTCCCCCGAGGGGAAGAAGGGCCGCCCGAACCCCGTCGCCACTCTCCGCTCGACGTCCCGATTCCATCAGACTATCAGACGGGGGTGGTAGCATTCCCCGAGAGCAAAAGGTCAATAAGTAACCGGTGGCGAGGGCGCAGTGCAGCAGGACGTGGGCGGCGGGGGCGGGCTCAGGTACGGATCCAGGAATAGTGCTTCACAAAAACTGCCTGAATGGGGGGGGGGTAATTTTGTTCTGATATATATCCGCCTAAAAGTAGGCAAAAAGCGTTGTTCGCCCCCCTTGCCAGAGGTCGGGCGGGTCCGCGTCCTGTGGGTAGAGGAGGGCAGGAGGGCGTGCTCGGACGCTACGCTCGGATGACGTTAGCGAAAGGGCGGCCGGGCCCGCGGCACCGCGAGGTAGGCGGCTCCATTCATTAATGCTAATCAGCGAAGCTTATCGGAGTAAAAGGGGGACGGCGCCTGTAGGCGTTGGGCTACTTGCTGCGCCTGAGGCGCCTGGAGGGGCTTGCGCGCCCAATGAGTTCGGCCTCTAGCGAGATGAGCGCGGGAGTTTGCGATTTTTTTTAGAAAGCTATTCCTTCCTCCGATGTTTTTTTTTTTTGAGGGGGTGGGGGAGGGGGTAGTTTTTTTCTTGGTAGGTTATATACCCCGACCCCGCGGACTGTAATTAAAGGAAAGTTTGGGGAAAACTAAAATTAGCGGGAAAAATTTTCTTCTTCGTCAACATGTTTCGCAATTATTATGATGTATGAATTATTACACTCTGTTATAACGCTGATTTGAATGCAACGTACTGCTGTGGCAGATGCAATCGGATAGTGGAAAATGAGGCGGGCGAGGGAGGGGGAAGGCCAAAGTCATCATTCATGCTCTCGGTGCTGCTTGCCTGGCTTGCCTTGCGATCGCTGTCTTCGGTGTCGGCGAAGAGGAAAGAGTGTCACATCATCGGAGCACGGCGGCACGGCTCGGGCGGCGGGCACCACCACCACCACCTGGGGCTCGGCGGCTGGACACTTGTCGCTGGAGTGGGTCTGGACGTCCTGCCCGGCGAGGCGCTGTGGCAGCACTGGGGGGCGCGATGCTGGGCCGCGGCATCGTCTGGGAGGGGTGGGGGCGCGCGCGGA